AGCCATTATAATTGAATTTGAATAGAGATACACCATGATAAATTTTTATTTACAAAAAAAATCATTTTCCCCTTCCATGCAGTTGAAGAATGCAAACAAAGAATAAAGAAGTTTTATTTTTATTATTAACAATACTAGTTATTTGCCCAAAACTTTTCCCAGTGAAATAAAAAAAAGGAAAATGTTTTTTTCATTTGAAGATTGCTTAGAGAATTTGTAACTTGAACCTGTTACAGGATGATGTCATTGTTGTGTCTGCCCACCCTGACCTTGACCTGAGTAGGACACAGGTCACCCAGGCCGTAGTGAAGGAGGGAGGGGCCAGAATTCAGCAGGACCTGAGGAGTAGCTACCCTAACGGAATCCAAGTGGGGGATCTGGCAATTGTGAATGCCAGAAATCTGCCATGTCAGGAGGTGTATATCATGACCTTACCCAAATACAACCAAGATCCCAAAACATCAGAAAAGGTATGATTGAAAAATGTTCATATACTTGGTTGATAAAATCTTTGAAATCAGTAAAAATCACTCTTTTGATGCATGATATACTTTTTTCTAAGGACGTGTGTTAGTGTATATTGTAACATATCTCCAGTGTTTAAATTGTTAACACTGGGTTAAGGAATGGCAAAACAGTCATTTTTCTAAATTTTTTTTAGTAAACGTTATCCATTGCAGTATGAAATTGAATTTTTGGCATGATCTTGCATTTGCAGAATCTAAAAGACTTGGTGGTGAAATGCCTGACTGTTGGTAACAAGAAGGGCCATAGTTCCATCTCGTTTCCTTGCCTAGGTACAGGATATAATGGGTATCCCCACATTCAGGCCGCTGCCTTGCTGTTTGAAGCAGTAACTGAGTACGACAGAAAGGTGTCCTCAACCAGCATTAAGTCTGTCAACTTTGTAGCTCTCAACAAAGATCACAAATCTCTTGGGGTATGTGTTGATGCATGGATATGAGGAAAAATGCAGTTCCTTTGAGCATGCCGTGTTATGTAAAATGTAGATTCCTTACAAATTTCACTTTTTCATGAATTTATATATATATAATTACAAATCTGTTTATTAAGCTTTTAATCTATATACACATTAGTCAATTTGTATCTTATAATCTTGTCTCATCAATAATATTTTTATTGTGGATTTTAGGCATTCCAGAGTGAGGAGAAAAAGTTCTGCTCCCAGCAGGCCCAGCCCTCCCTTGATCAGTCTGTCATGGGTCAGAGTGTTAGTTTTGGTTCTTTGGGTTCCTCAATGGCTGCAGGGGCCACCAGCTTCGCCCGGGGCATGATGACTAGAGCCAGTAGGATGTTCAAGAGTGAGATGGAGGAGGAGGAGAAAACTTCTGAGGTTGTCGCTAGACATGGACAGAAACCAAATGGTAGATATTTCAAGCTGTAGCTACTTCATTTTGAGCAAAATCTGTAGTTAGTACATGTATCAACTTGAGACAAGTTGATTCCAGATTTAAGTGGATTCAGCTGTGAGAAATAATGAAAAAAGAAAAAAAAAGAGGGTGAGCTTTTGACTGCATAATACAGTGCACCTTCAGATATCTGGACGCCAGATATCCGGATGCTTCAGTATCCGGACGATTTTTCATCGGAACGAAATTTTTAAATGTTATTCTGTCTTGTTTAACTGGTGATTCAGATATCCGGATGCTTCACATATCCGGACAAATTGACTGGGAACCAAAGCGTTCGGATAAATGAGGGTCCACTGTATTTAAATAATTTTGAAGTTGTCTTTTTCTTTCTATGTAACAGAGGTTGTGATTGGCCAGTTGACAATAAGTGTTAGTGCAGGCGACCTTACAGAGCAGAAAGTTGACGCTATTGTCAACAGCACCAACCTAGAGCTGGACTTTACGCAAGGTATACTTTTGGAATGCCTAAGGTGACACTTTCTTTTGATGACTGGATGTGAAATTATTCTCTTGTGATCGTCACAGATGTTTAAAGATTCTGAGATAAATGTTTACATCTTATATATTTTAGGGGGAGTTTCTGGTGCACTTGCCAAGAAATGTGGAAAACAGCTGGAGACTGAGTGTGCCGCTAAGAGTAAGTGATTTGTAGTGTTTAGAATAATGTTTAGTTTATTTATAGCCAAATTTAATGCAGGTCACAGATACAGCTGCTTAATCTGTTATGAATGAAAAAGGTGAGGACAATGATCTTTGATCAATGTAAAAAAAAATCTATTAACAGTACCAGTCTGTGAAAAGGACTTAAAATATGGACCCCTGATTCCTGAGGTAGGATCAGGTGACTAGGAGAAATAAGCTTCCCTTGTTGACCTGTCAAACCCGCTGAATCTGAATACTGTACACAGGGAAATTTTCACCCCCATTTTATTTTCGCCCTTTTCACTCTACCCTCTTCTGGGCGAATTTAAAACGGGGCGAATTCACAAAATTTCTTAAACAAAATTGTAACTGGGCGAATTTAAAACAGGACAAAATTGTTTGCAAGCGGGAAAGGGCGAAAATAACACGGGGCGAAAATAACCCTGTATACAGTAATAACATTATGATAGGTTTCGGGGTTCATTTCCGATATTTTAGCTAAAAGCATCCATGATGAAATCCTGATTTTTTTCCCTTTTTTATATCCAGTTACAGCTGAAAAAAGAATTATTTGAAAAGGTTATTAAATATTTTTTAAGAAGATTGTAAAATTAAATGGAAAAAAAAAATGATTTAAATGTAACATTAATGCAAAAGCCTTTTTTCCTGAATCTGACATTATTATTAAGAAATATTGATGTTTTGTGTAGAGAAAGAAATGAAGGATAAGAAGATGATAGTGACGTCTGGTTGTGGACTAAGGAACATTAAGCACATCATCCACATTGAGTGTCAGGACACCATCAAGAAATGGAGGGAAGTAGTGAAGAAAACACTGGAAATGGCAGACAACACACAGTGTACAACTATAGCCTTCCCAGTTCTGGGAACAGGTAATTTGGGTGTTGTTACCACAAAACAAAATAGAGTATGCTGATTGGTTACTTTAAAAGTTCAGAGGTCACTTTAAAAAAGTTTGAATTATAACATCTCAACATTATGCTTGAATTGTCTTCTTACTATATATGTTTTAATTTGTGTTTAAAGTTCAAACTGTTAACTAGAGAAAAGAAAGAATTAGACACTGCAATATGTTGATATTAAAAAAAAAAGAAATGTGGAGTTAAAAACATTTGCTGTAGTTTAATAGTGGACTTGACTTTCAAAGTATGCTTCAGTTAAAAGTTGTGTGTGTAAATGTGATTTGAAAACTTTTTTGTCTTTATAATTGAACAGGGAAAGGCTTTGTGACCTTCAAACCAGAGGCCATTGGAGAGATGTTTGTGGAAAGTGTTTCTGAGTTCCTGTCACTGAGCGGTCAAAAGAAGATCACACTGGTCAAGGTCGTAGCTTTCCAGGAGGAAATGGTCACTCCCTTGTCCACTGCAATGAGAAGTGCTTGTGGCAAACCCAAGAATACAGGGATGTTGGACAAGCTCTCAGGTTTGTGTTGATCTCTCACAAAAAGCAAAGAAAAGTTTATGATTGCTTAATAGCAACTCCTTGTTGAATAGTGAACCTTGTCTAATCTGGGCACCACAGGTTTCAAAGAAATTGGCTGGATTAGAAAACAAGACAGATTTGACAACATTTTAAAGAATTGAATTTAATGAAAGGGAGTGATCATTTGCAATGTATTAGGCAAGATTTCGGAATAAACAAGATCTGGATTAAACAAGTTTCACTGTACAGTTCAAATTCCTGAATACAGAGGCTGGGATTATGCATTTTCTCTCCTTTCTCTATTTATATTCTTTACACCAAGGACATAACATACCTTATAGGTGGTAATTTTAGCGAGTTTTAGCATCCTTAAAATGATGGTATATATTTTTAGGGAGAATTAATTTTAGCAATTTTGAAATGCACACTGTTGAACCTCTTGCAAATAAAATGCAATTAATAGTTAACGATATCTGATTTGGGGACTATGAGCACCCTCGCCAATAATGCCAAAATTAAATCCTTGTTAAAAATTCTACTTATTCGGTATTCACAACTTTTTGTAGACTTGGCAAGCGATGTTGGGTTGGCGCCCCAGAAAGGCCTGGCCTCGATGGCTACTGTGAATGAAGACCAGTCTGTGATGTTGTGGATCTATGGAGAAACAAAGGGGGCCAGAGATGATACGATTGACGAAATATCCAAATTCATCAAATCACAGTCTACAAAGGCCAAGATTGAAGACAAAACCTTGTTACCAAACTTAAAACCAAATGAGGTACTGTATCCATCATGACCATGTGTATTTTTTGTTGGCTGTTTTCTACAAGAGTCAAATATTTCCAATGAGCAAAATCAGTTCTATACCTTAAATTTGAGATCATACATTGGAGGGAAATCCAGTACTGAACTGAAACTATGATTCAAACAATGTAAAATTTTATGTTAACCTATTTAATATTTATTTTGTAGTTGGACAAGATTAAAAAGGTTCAGGAGAAGCATGATGTTAAGATGTCCATTGAACAACAGAGAGGGATTATAATGGTGGAAGGTCTGACAGAGGAGGTATCTAATGCCAAGGACAAGATACATGAGCTTCTTAGACATTTCCAGAAAGAGAAATGGTTAGATGAGGAAGCCAAACTGGTGGCTGATACAGTACAATGGAGTGTCATGGTAGGTATTTCAAGGGCTAGCTATATTTTCTGCTTTCACTCTTTAGCGATCTGGCAGTTTTCTAGTCCATCCGTATTGGTTTGTGTTGCTGCATTATCTCCCTTGATCCACTTCAGGAACCATTGCTAAAGGATATGATGCATCCTTGAGTTAATTCATGGAAACTCCAGTCTTTTTTTCCCTTTGACTCATAGAATCCATTTTCTCTGAGTACTTAAGACCTTAGTTTCTCAATATTTCACAGCAAACTGTAAAATCATATATTTTGGGGGGGTCAAATTTTCATGGTTTGGAGAAAAAAAAAACCTTGGTTCGTGGGATTTGATTTCGTGGATGAAGACTTGTTGAGTAAATTAGTACGTAACATTTCATATTTAGTGGTGGACATGAATTCATGTGTCCCCTAATTACAAAAACAACGAAAATGAAACCGCCATTAAAATGTGTGATTTCATAGTATGCATATAACCCTACATAAAGAACCTATATCCTTCTTAAGCCCTCGGGGAATATGATTTTTCTTGGCTGAATAAGTCTTCATGTTTCCCGAACATTCATGCAATGAATTGTTTATTATACCGAAACAAGCAAAACCTTTGAAATAAACATAAACTTTCAAATTCGGCACCTCTCTCAAATTCACTTTCATTTTTAATGTAAAATTAATAAACCCTTTGGTCAACACTTTATCATCAATTTTGTGACGTAAAGAAGGCTATTGTGACGTCTACTACTTTCGGGAGTTTTCTTTTAATGAACGATAATTATTGCGGGAATATGCACTAAGTATCCGAAGAGATGGGAATATGATGAAAAGCATGCCGATGACCGGGAAATATGAAGTTTTACGGCCCGATCACGTGATTATCTAGAACCAATCAGAAAACGTTTTGTGTAGAATATTTATAATGAGGTATAATAATATTTTAAATATGCTAAATACTCAAATATCTGTTTCATGCTGTATGCACCTCTGAATGCAGGAAATTAAGTTTTAGTTAATAGTAGGGATGTCAACGAATATTCGAATATTCATTCGATGAGTTGATATTCGAATATAAATTTAAGATTCGAATATTCGGATTTTCAGTATACAAGCATTTTAAAGATAGAAAAATCTGACAATTTTTATCAGAAATTGAATCAAAGTCGTACTGTTGACCAGCAATATGATTTGATTAAAAACAAAATAAAAATACACTCCTCTTGGATTACATTAAATGTGTGATTATTGTATCTATTAAATAATACAAATTATTTATTTGATCATTTAATTAGTGGTATAACAGTGTCCTAGAGTACTTACAATTAGTTCGTATTGTTGAAAGGACACATTTTTACAGTAAACACATGGATCCCTTGTTTATATATGCTTGTATATCATTTAAAATCATTAGAAAGAAATTAATTAGCTAAAGTAATTGGTTTTAATTTTTCTCCATTAGATAATTGTTCTGCATGGTAAAAATCTGTAGGGGTTACCAGTGTAGACTTTTGTAAGACGATTAATTAATCTTGAAGTTACCAAAAGAATCTTTTGAATTTTCAGAAGAAATATATTACATTTTGGATATAAGATTTTCATATATTCTGTAAAATATTTTGAAAATATAACTACTGTGCATTTACAAAACTTTATATGAATTTTTATTCCAAAATAATGGTATAAAACGTATCCTGCTTTACAAAAGAGTAAAGATGTATACATATTATAATGCAGGATGTATTAATTTCATCGAATATTCGAATATATTCGAATACTACTACCGAATATTCGAATATCAGTTATTGACAATTTTGACATCCCTAGTTAATAGTAATTAATTTTCAATAGGATAACACCATTAACTTGTCAATTTTAGAAAACATGACTTAATTCTTTGCAGGTAAAAGACCAAACAACTGGTATAGACAAACTAGAAGATTATCCAGAACGTCAGAATATGTACCTTGAGGATGCTTACAAGAAGAAACTGAACACCGTTACATTGAAGACAATGGATGGGGATATTATTGTTGACTTGACAACAATGAAGGAGTACCCAGCTAATGATCCAACCCAAACTGATAATGTTGTCAGGAAAGAAAAAGCCACAGGTTAGAGATATAGATACATCTTTTTGTCCCCCATTTTTGCTTATTTTATTATCTGAAACACTATAGTTTCTTGATGATATGTCTCTAACTGTCCTTTAAATTTATATGATAACTTTCAATGACTTAAAGAATATTCTTACTGACTTTCAAGTGAAAAGTCAAGGTCAGAAGTTCATAAATGGCATGAAAAGGTTTCCATGTGATAACTCACTTCTCTTTAGTTTTTGCATTGAAACCCAAAGTATTTGAGATTCTTTTGAATTTGAAGGACCCCCCCCCCCCCCCCCCCCCGCTAGGAAAGTTCAAGGTCATTTCTTCATTACTCTCTTCATCTGCAGTATTAAGGTCTCTTCCACCCACAATTTTTTTTTTCTAATACCTGGAAATAGATTTACTCCAAGGTGCTTGTTACAGTACTGTAGATCACTAAATTTTCGCGACACCTTATTTCCGCGAGATAGTCAATGACTCTTGATAAGCGAGACAAAATTTTCGCGAATTGTGGTTATTGCTCTATATAATCTTAAGGAATACAATTATACACGAGAATTAAATTTTCGCGAGCACACTGTCTCGCGTAATTACGTGAAAATAAAGTTCTCACGAATAAAAAGTGATTTACAGTATGTAACAGTTAAAAAAGCTTTTTTTCCAATAGACACTTGGCCTTGCTATACTTGGCAAGTTATTTCATAATTATGGATTAAATTTTTATTTTCTCTACTTGTAGGAAATAAGATTGAGCTACCAGCCCACTGGGCCCCAATGAAGGATAACGAGAATATCAAGGTTGTAACCTTACTACCCTCCAGTCAGGAATACCAGGATATTGAGAAGAGATTCCTGAGTGGAGTCAAGACAGGCATCTATAACACAGGCAGGGCTCCAAACCCAGCTAATAATCCAGTGGGCCAGTTCAACAACGTCAAAGTCAACAAGGTATAGTGACAGTAATAATTTGAAACAAAATACAAAGTAACATCCTTGCGCTGAATTTAAGAAATATCTTATAGATGGTAGCATTTGTATGTTTGTTGTCACCTTTACAAATGGCTGGAATATGTACATTGTTCTTGATTACAATTAAAGGACAAGGTATGGTAACCATTGAATTTGCCCCTTGTTGGATGTAAAAGTCAAAACACAGTTAAAATTGTGATAATTTGCAGTTAAGAGTTTTAAATGATATATTGCTTAATTTGTTTTAAAACTTCCTTAATTTTGAATCAAACAATGCACAGAGGCAGCAAGAGGCTGTTTAAGTTGATCATTTTACCAAATTTCATCAATTCTGGTGGAATTTTGTTTAATCTTGGATACTTTTTACTTTGGGATAGATAGAGCACAGGCAAGATAGATAGAGCATAGAGCTGAAACAATTCATCGAAATATCAATATTGTTCAGTATAATTAATTGACAGTTTGACACTCAAGGGAGAGATAATTGAGACGGAAAAAAGTTTTAGCACAGACTGCTGCTAGATTTGACACAGATAATGTGCTATTTTAATTGACAGAAGCACAAGAAGTGTTTTCTTCTTGTATCACCACCTTTTATGTATCTTTTGGAATCTGAATACAGGTGACTCTCAGTGGCTCGAACTGCGATCTCTCGAAGTGAACCTACGGTCCCAATTTTTTTCTCTATATAACTAAGCAAATTTACTCCTGATCTCTCGAACTTCTATCTCTCGAAGTTCTCTATCTCTCGAACCAAAATCTGGGTCCCGTTACACATATTTCATTGAAATTTACTCTCTATCTCTCGAAGTTTTGATTGTGCGTGAATAAACACCGATCAAGCATATAATTGAGCCTGGACCTACCTGGAAAAACATTGAATGCCTAGGGCTGGTATGGAGGTGTTAATTGGGTGTTTACATAGATGACACTAAACCTGTGGGTCGTCCGTGTGTTGATAAAATTAATTGGTTATTATTGGTAAATTATAAATGATTTCACAACTTATTTTGACTTGAAACCGAGACGATAATTTTTAGAAAATAAATTTATAGACGTTCACTTCAATAAGTTCCCATAGACTAAGAACTCTTATTAGAGTCTACATAATCCCCGTATGGCAAATATTGCACAAGAGATTCCTTTATCAAGGACTGAATACCGATTAAGAAAAATCTGGTGAACACTGGTGAAGGACTCGATCAAGCTGCGGAATAGCCAAACCGACAATTGCTATCCGGGTTTCATGTAATCATGAAATAACAACAAATATATATTGAAACTTCAGAAATTCATTGTATTTATTTGAAATACGATCATTGTTGTTGATATCAAGTATATTACCTTTAAAATACAATTGAAAACGTGCAGTAACTTTATTTACATATACTTCCGGTATCTATAATAATAGAACAACGATGATCGGAACTGAAAATTTCGGATTTTATTTACTTTCTATCTCTCGAACCCCTCGATCTCTCGAACTTTTCTTGCGGTCCCTTGAACTTCGAGAGATCAAGAGTCATCTGTACATGTTTTCTTTTACCTAATGATATGTTCCTTTTTAAAAATGTATCGTATCGAAAAAATTGAATTGTGACACAAGTATTGCAATACGTATCGTATCGTGGAGGGGGTGTATTGTTTCAGCCCTAATAGAGCACAAGCTTGCCTATCTGAGATTTTTATATAGAAGATGCAGCTAATGCTAGCGTATGAAATATATAAATTTGGTAGATATGCCAGCATTTACTCTATGTTTTCTGAATCAAAATGTTTTGAAATTGATGAAAATTTGCATAGAAATGGGAAAATTTGAAAATTGACAAATTTTGTAAACTTCTTGTGGAATTTCTGTGTCTCATAGCTTAGAATCAATACTTATTTTGTAACAATGATGACATGTTTTATTAATGAACTATTGCTTCATTCATGGAGACATCCAATATTAAGGGCAAAAAGGGTCATATATGGCAAGCCCTTTTACTATTTATTCGTAAAATAAACTTTTTCTTTCAAAATGAGAGATATCTCTCTACCATAGAGAGATATCTCTTTAGCTTATGGAGATATCTCTTTAGCTTATAGAGATATCTCTTTGACTAATAGAGATATCTTAAGACTTTAGAGAGATATCTCTTTCAATAAAAGAGATATCTCTTTTTGAAAGAGAGATATCTCTTTTAGTAAGAGAGATATCTTTATAAGCTAGAGAGATATCTCTTTAAGCGAGAGAGATATCTCTTAAAGTTAGAGAGATATCTCTTTAACAAGTTTAAAAGAGATATCTCTCTTAATTAGAGAGATATCTCTTTAGATTTTCAAAAAGAGATATCTTTCTAAGCTAAAGAGATATCTCTTTTAATGAAAGAGATATCTCTTTTCCAATCACCCTTAAAATAAAATAACTAATTCTCCCGTTAAAAACGAAAGCGAAACAGGAAGTAATGTCTGTTAAGTCGTTCGTTTTCTGGTTATTGAAAAGAAGAGGATATAATGGACTGATTGATACAGCAGAGACGTCTTTGGATACAGGTAAACAACGTTTAATTGCTTTATTGTTTTAAGCGAAAGTAACAGGATTTCAAACCAAAACGTCCCCCAAAGATTGGTTCCATATTATATTTATTTCATTTATTTAGCTCACAGGACAGCTGAGCCGGGGATATAGAATGCGAAGTCAATAAAAACAAATTCGAAATAGGCCTACATGCACCCAATTTCATCGATCACGGGAATACATGATTGATTACTACGTCGATTAAACATAATCCTGATAGAATTAATGTTCTTTTTTAATTAATTAAAACTCCAAAAATAAAAAACGTCCAACATTACTTCTTTCATGTAAACAGGGATGTATATATTCAACTTCAATATTATCTGTAGGACGTTAAACGACATACATGTAAGATCAATATATTAACTGTAAAGCCTTATGACCCCCTTCCCAAACACAGGCACCTGAAGTATGGATTATACCCCTCTTTTTTAAATATTTTTTTAATTTAAAAAAAAAAGGGGAGGTATTATCCATACTTCAGGTGCCCGTGTTCCCAAATACTCTTACAATTATGAGAAAGACATTTTATTTTCTTAAAATAGGCATTAGAAATAGGAATTTTCTTATTTGTCTTAGCTAGAACAATCCCCAATTTATCCAGTGTTGTCACCAAACAGGTCTGCAATGGGTCCATAAGACATTCATCAATCAATGGTAGAACATTTTATCTATATTTGTCATATTTTACAGAGATCCAGGAGGTACTGAAAAAGGGACAATGCTTCGACTGAATGTGTCATCCATGTACCAGTATAGACCTGTTAATGAGGCATATCCAATAATTCTTATACTCATGAAGAGTGTGGCAACTCCCAAGTAGTTAAGGATGGCACTCATTTTAAATCAGGTACAGGATAATTTTTTGGGCTGCACTTTTCTTTACTTCAATATTTCAAACTTACTAGTTAAGTATCAAGTCCACAAAAGCTCAAACACCATGGTGAATCAATGGACCATAATGATAGTTAAATTTGTCATATGCTTTCTTATTAAATTATCAATTTGAAATTTGATTGGTAAAAAACATTTATTAACAAGTACAATTCTTCTACTGTGTGCCTGTCATCCCAACAATTGCAAATGCACATCGATAGGTTCTCCATAAAAATTGCTAACTGCGCAGAATGGTTGCACATTTTTTTTCAATGAACGACATTTTCTTAACATTGAATCCTTCAGTATAACAAGACAAATATTGCATGCTTATTTTAATACACTATAAATAAACTTAAGAACAAATTTAAGGATTGAAGTTTAATTTGTAAATTTGGTAGTTACATGCATAATTAGTTTTATATATAAAGGATGTACACAAGCATTTTATAACATTGAAAATATTCAAAAAGTATTCTCTTAATTTCTTGTAGATCCTCACTTCTAGGATGTTTTCCATGTTCTTGTGGAAAGTGTTTTACATGGCACCATTCAGCTACAAATACTTTGCCAGTGGAACTGTGACATCAATCAGCTGCTCATGCCACTGCTAATTGGCAGAATTTCCTTTGGGACAAGCAAACTGTTTCAAATATTTTACACCTGCAAGTTAGTACTTATGAAATTTTGTTTGAAGGAAGCTAAAAGCTAATGAGTACTGAAAATACAAGCCAGATGAAGTACAAAAGTGTTGATACAAGTCATTTAGAATTTTTAATTCTTTGCAGGTAGTGATGAGTGTACTGGAAGTTTTTTCGGGATCTTGTCTGACATCATAGGTACAACTGGTCACTGTGCTTTCTTTGTTATATAAGCAGGCATATTGTTAAAGCAGTGACACATGTAGCTTCAAATGATGCTTGACTGTTTAAGTGTTTTTCTTTGATTTTATAAGTAAACCTGGATTGATCTCTGATGCAGTAATATAGAGCCATGTCCATTCTTTAATATTCCATCATCCCACTGTCACAAAGTACTGAAATAAAAATGATTTTGATTTTAAAAATTTTTGGTTTTTATATGTAACATAAAATTCTACAGAAATTCAAATATTAAAACTACTTCAAAACAAGATGTGTTTGTGAAACACTATGCACCAGGCGGCAACAAATTCAAACAAGTTTTTTTAAGCATATAGTTCATAGTCAAGGTCACAAGGTCATTGGCCTTGGTGTCATTTGAAAGAGCTTAATTAGTGGAGTATGTAAATCAAATATGAAGTCTCTATCTTTAACGGTACAAAAGGTATGGTGAAAGTTCAAAATGGTATTTATAGCATTAAAGTCACAGTAATTAAGGTCAAAAGTTCACTGGCCTTGGTGTCATTTGAAAGAGCATAATTAATGAAGAAGGCATTCCAAATATGATTTCTCTATCTTTAATGTATCAAAAAGTTATGGCGAAAGTTTTAAAAAAAGCTATTTTTAGCATATAGGTCACAGTCAAGTTCACAAGGTCATTGACCTTGGTGTCTTTTGAAAGAATTTAATTAGTGGAGTAGGCATATTAAATATGAAGTCTGTATCTCTCATGGTTCAAAAGTTATGGTGGAGGTTAAAGTTGACAAAAGACAAATAGACATAGAAACAGGATGTAAACAATAGACAATAATTCACTTACTTTATGATTATGTATATTAATGTGACTGAATTTTGGAATCAATTTGTACTAAGGTTTAGTGTCATTGAAAAAGATTACAAAATATCCTAAAGAACTGTTTTACTTGTTAATATAGAAGGAAGTTGTTTAGAAAATGTTTTTTTATTAGTTGCAAAAAAATTTATTTACTATTCAAGATCACAAGATAGTAAGCCATTATTTATTGATGCAGTAAAGTTATTCAAGTATTACAGAAACATAGAAAATTGTTGTGAAAAAGTTTTTCAATGTAAGGACAAAATACTCAGTAAATGGGTCCTGTATGATAATGTGTACAACAAGTGATGAAAAAATCAAAATTGTAATTTTTTGTTAATTTATATCTACACATTTGGGTACATCTGTTTTGTTTTTGGATAAATTGTATGTTTAACTGTCATATGTTTACATATATGTACATTAATTATGCCCCCCCCCCCCCCTCTTCGAAGAAGGGAGGGCATATTGCTTTGCTGCTGTCTGTCAGTCCATTTAGTTTCAATTCATTTTCTTCACAAACATTGCACTGAAATGAAATTTGGTATACAGCCTTACAGGTATATCAGATGAATATCTAGGTCAAGTTCTGTTTTGGGTATGATCATCGTGCCATTTTTGACAGAGTTATACCCCTTGGATTTAGAAAAATTCCAATTACTTGCAGTTTCCGTTCATTTCCTTTGCAGAGGTTGCACATAGTGAAATGCAATTTAGTATACAGATTTATCAGATGAATATCTAGGTCAAGTTCTCTTTTGGGTATGCTTGCACCATTTTTGACAGAGTTATGCCTTTTTGGACTTAGATAAAAAATTCCAATGTGGGGGAGGGGGGCATAAGTATTTTACAAACATCTCATTATTTTTAATTTTAGAAAGTGCACTTTGTGAGTGTGTGCAATTGTGGTGGTGAGTGGGTGAAAATTGTCTTGTGTTTGTACAGTGTATATATGGATATGGAAAATGCTTCAAAATAAAGCATTTAAAAAAAAAAGTTTTGGAAAGTATGGCAATCATATACCATGCAGTACTCAGAAATGCTAAATAAAAGGCTGCGTAGAAGAAAAAAAAAATAATTAAAACTACCAATCAAATAAGTATTAAATGTAAATCTTTTAAGATGAAGGTTTTGCGTTGTCAGATTCTTTGCTTATAGGGACACTTACCTTTAATAATGTCATGACAGGTGAGGCACATGGCTGGTCTTCATGCTGGATCAGTTCTTAGTTAAAACCATCCAGTATTGCCCTAAGATTGCCAGATGTACAGACAAAACCTGTAATTTAGCAAGCTTCTGTAATATGCCAATTGAATTATTACATAGGTCATAGTTGTATGTGCAACTGATAATGATGTAGGACTAAGGTGCCTGACAAATAATGAGTTATAAATCTTACAAATATCCATTTATTTGATACAAATCTTATTAATAACTTTCTTCATTAAATTTTATCAATGATTTTACAAGAAAATCAGAATAAAAATTGTCCTTTTTATACATAAAAAATATTTTCATTTAAAATCTTTTTATCTAAAAATATTTGTTGCATTTTCATATTTAGGGTACCCTTCCTAGGCCAACAATAAAAAAATGATTTGTTTGATGTACTCTGACCGACTGTTAAAATAGCCCCTACCCATTTGCATTCATTTTTTGGGGGCACTTAAGATTTTTTAACACCCCCTTAATTTCCATAGATGTTTTAAAGATAAGGTATCATATTTTTTTTAGGATGCTTTTTAATTCATAAATACAAAGTCTTTGTTACTAAATGAAAACATTAACAGATTTCTGAGTCTGTGGTTTTAAATATGACAGTTATCAATTTATTCAATGCTGTAAGACATAAGAAAAATAAAGTGCCGCGCCACGACATGATACGCCCGTCAAAAAATTACCAATTTTCTTGAACAGTTTAGGTGCAAAAAAATCACATCAACCTTGTTTTTAAGATTTCAATGATTTTTCCATTCCTTAAAATATTTATCCATCCCTTGTGATGTAGGCATCAATTATAATAAATATTACATCACTGATAGATTTCTGTGCTGGTTGTGTTAGACCTTGTCAAATGCCCATCATCAAATTAGTCTTAACAACTTAATCTATACCAAATTAATTTTGAAAAAAAAGGCTGGCCATCAAATGACATATGTTATAAACTGACCAGCAGTTCTTCTGTCTTGACATTGAACTCATTAATTAATCTTTAACTGGATGCTTGTCTACTCATTACTACCAAGACATGAATGGGTCTGCACTATCTACTATAATTTTTTTTTAAAAACATATAAAATACTCTCAGATTTTTTTTTTTTTTGGTTGAGATTTAATGTCCGACAGGTTTAGTATGTAATTCATATGGACATGCTGATTCCATCCCACCCCATAAAATTAGTTTTTAAATTAATAATATTACATAATATCAGATTAGTCTATAATTATGCAATATCAAATTAGTTTTGATTACTTTTCATCAAATTCATTTCAAAACTTAAGCTAGTCAACAAGAGCTATTTTTAATCAAACAGGCTTAACCATTTGCCCAATTCTCAAGGGATATAGATAACGCCAATGCTCTGACAGTTAACTCCTAGCACTCAAAACCCATTAATTTCTCTCTAATTTGACATGCAATTTTCTGTTATCAAAATTCTTCTTGACCAGTGCTTGATAATTACACTCATGGGAGACATGGGATTTCTCTAACATAAATTCTATTTGTTTTAGATTGCTGTCAAGTATATGCGTAAAAAAAATAAGTATTTTCTTGATTTTTTTAACACTTTTTTAATAAGAACAGTGCAATACTCTTACATTATTTGGGATGTGTAAATGAATAGTAAAAAGACACATTTTTTTTTAAAAATTCACTTAAATTAAAGGTCACAGTGACCTTGAAATAGGTCGTGACACACCTTCTACCTAAGATGCATAAACTGGCCAAGTTTGATGATTGTAGGTCTTATGGTTTCCTAGTTATGGGCCGGAAAGGATTTTTCCATATTTGGCTATAACTTCTTAATTAAAGGTCAGAGCGACCTACTTTTTGTGCGCGACACACCTTCTACCCAAGATGCATCAGATGACAAAGTTTGATAATCCTAGGCCTAGTAGTATTAAAGTTATGAGCCGGAAACGAAAAAGCTAACAGACAGACGGACAGACGGACGGACACGAAGCCTATAACATAATCCGTCGCGTCTTAAGACGGGCGTATAAAAACTAGAAATATGTCCACAGGACAGGAATGCCCACCAAGGGTATATTAGTCATGCAAAATGAAAATTCGTATGAAATTTGATCAGAATTAAATATCTTGAAAAATGTTACAGTTGAATTGCTTACATGTCATCAGTATGTATCAGCATATGAAGTTTGACACTAATTTCAGAGATGTGAGGTCAAGGTCAAATAAAAGGTCAAGGTCATGTTGATGCAGTTGAATTGCTTACATCAGAATGTATCACCATATGAAGTTTAACACTAACTTAGGAAAATTGAGGTCAAAGTCAAAAGAAAGGCCAAGGTAAAAAAATGTTTGTTTCAGTTGAAAAGCTCTAATCAGTATTATAAGTTTGATACAGTAAATCTCGTTTTGTACGAACAGGAATATTGCGAATTCATGGGTATAGCGAAGTCATCTTGGATTCCCAGCTATAAAATTTCAATGAATTTCTTATACGATTATAATGAATTATGGATATAGCGAAGTAATTTCATAAGTCCCAGCAACTTTGTTATAACCGAGTTTTGCTGTAACACCATCTTGAATGGTATGTTTAAAACTAAGTTAAACACTAATTTAAGAAAAGTGAGGTCAAGGTCAAAGGAAAGGTCAAGGACAGAAAATGTTGATGCAGTTGCATAGCTCTTATCAATATCTATCAGCAAAGTTTGATGAAATGTCCTGTATAGTTTGAAACTGGGCTTTGAACTGAGCTAAACTCAAAGTGTGACACATGGACAGAAAGACGGAAGACAGACATGACAAACACTATATGCCAAGGCCATAATCATGGTGGGGCATAAAAAAACTACCGGTACCTACTAACCTACCTGCCAACCTTGATAAAAGTGGGTAGGAGTACATCAAACAAATATATTTTTAAAGCTGGCCAGTTGTTGACTAGTATATTAGTCATTTTGATATGCTATGTCTTATAAAAAATAAATTTTATATTTGTCTTAGAACTTATTTGTTGCATCAATTTCATACCTGTATTTGATTTGCATTGTTTTGGATGCTGATAATTCAAAGTCATGATCAGTATAGTCTTAGGTGCTGCTGACTTTGGATCTCTTAGGAACTGCATCTTTTATCTGTGTTACTGGTTCTCTTGTACCTCTGCTATAAAATAAGTTTTAGTGTATACAGTTGTGTAATATCAGTGAATAAATTGAACAGACAGATTGATTGTTTATTGTTTATCGTTCCTCTCAAGAATTTTTCACTCATATGGAAACGACAGTGGAGAGCTGCAAATTTTGTCCTAATGACCTATACTCAGCACTTAGGGCCATTGACTGATTGAGCAGGAAGGGATCTTTTTTGTGCCAACACCTGACCTACTGCAACAAGGGGCCACAGTTATACTGTATCATCCCAAGGACAGGTCTCCACATCCCACAGTGGGATTCAAACTCATGATGTAAGGATCAACACCTTATTTCGCGACTCTGCTAGAGCAGACACTCTAACCACTGTGCCATGCAGGCGAATTTGAACAGACAGAAAAATTTACCAAAATCCATAAACCATATTCTATAAACAGGAAACATACTCTCTAAAGTTAGAAATATGGTCATCTAAATTTTATTTTATGCAGAGAGATGGCAAAATATATGAACATCTTATCCTTGTGAAATAGATCTAAATTGCTACAAACATTTAATGCTCAAAAAAATAATCCACTAATACAAAGCAGGTTAAATTTTACTGAAAAACAAGATGTGTTTGTGAAACACTGATGCCCCCGTACGGCAATTTAGCGACAGTTAAGCTTTCTCAAATGCAAATCAAATATGTTGGTACCAAAGTAAGGTCTTTTCACAAGAAATGAGAAATGTAAACACTAACTACACCTGCTCCACGGTTATGACCAATGTTAACATTTTAAAAGATAGGACAAATTCCGGGTCAAGGTCAAAGGGTCAAGGTTGTTGTGTTCTAAAGAAGGCCTTGTCTCAAAGATTATGTATGCGAAGTATAAAAGCACTGGCCCTTACCGTTCAAAAGTTATGGCCAAGGTTAAAATTTGTAAAAGGTAGGTCAAACTTTAAGGTCAAGGTCAAAGGGTCAAGATTCTTGATATCCAATGAAAGTTATTGTCACAAAGATTACACATGTGAAATATGAAAGCTCTAGCCCCAACTATTCAGAAGTTATGGTCAAGGTTAAAGTTTGTAAAAAGTAGGTCAAACACCAAGGTCAAGGTCAGATGGTCAAGGTTCTTGAAATCAAATGAAAGGTCTTGTCACAAGGATTAAATTTGTGAAGTATGAATGCCCTAGTCCTAACCCTTCAACAATTTCTGTCAATGTTGTATTTTTAAAGTAGGTCAAACTCCAAGGTCAAGGTCAAAAGGGTCAAGGTTCTTGGTATCCAAAGGAAGGTCTTTTCATCAGAATTATATATGCAAAGTATGAAAGCCCTTGTACTTACTGTTCAAAAGTTATAGCCAAGGTTAAAGTTTTTTCATAGGTACAGAAATCTCCAAGGGCAAGGTCAAAGGGTCAAGGTTATTGGTATCCAATGAAAGATCTTTCAAGAAAGATTACATATGTGAAGTATAAATGTCTTGGTATCTACTGTTCAAAAGATATGGCCGAAGTAAAAGTTTAAAATTTTCATGTAAAAGTGGGTCAAACTCCAAGGTCAAGGTCAAAAGGTCAAATTTGGTGGTACCCAAAGAAAGGTCTTTACACAAGGAATATACATATGAAATATTAAAGTCATAGCTCCACTAAATCAAAAGTTATGGGCAAGGTGAAAGTTTTTGCGGACAAACAGAGAGACAGACAGACAGACGGACACGACAAAAACTATTTACCCCCGAAACTTCGTTTACGGGGGCATAAAAAGTATATTAAAAAATTACCCAAACAAAAGTGATGCAGCCACAATATCATAAATATGACGTTGGTTCCCATCAATGACAAAACTCCTCCTCTATAATCAGCTGATGAATAACATCTCGGATTCAAGAGAAATCTGTTAACAAATTAAGGCAAAAGATGATTTAGAAACTATTTCATTTGGTTAAGAAAAAAAACACTTCATTTTCCCTCAAAATAAACAAGAAACGGATGACACTCTGATTTGTTTACCTGTATTTCGATCGAAATATTCCTGGTGGACGCTCGCACCCAATTTTCTTATGACATGAAATTCATACATCGTAAGTCGGACAACTCTTCGGCTTTGTAAAACTATTTAATTTCCCCCTGAAAGCTGTGTGTGAACCAGAAACATGCTGAACTCAATATACACATTCACCATGACCATGTGCGAGGAAGTGAAAATTATCGTAAAATCTCGCGAGTCACGTGACGAGACTAACAGACTCTGGACCGAATTTTCTCAGCTTTTGAAATAATGAAAAAAAGTTCACTTCCGGTAAAGGGAGAAGTCATTTCAAATGGAATTTAAATAAACATAATAAAGAGAGAGATCTCTTTGCAATAAAGAGATATCTCTTTTTGCTTCAGAGATATCTCTTTTAGACCCTTTTGAAAGATATCTCTTTCACTTTGAGAGATATCTCTTAAGATAAACTTAGAGAGATATCTCTTTTACTTAAAGAGATATCTCTTTAACTTGGAAAGATATCTCTCTAAGTGAAAGAGATATCTCTCAAGGTGAAAGAGATATCTCTCTAGTTGAAAGAGATATCTCTCTAACGATCAGAGATATCTCTTTAACGTTCAGAGATATCTCTTATCACGAAAGAGATATCTCTCAAGGAGAAAGAGATATCTCTCAAAGAAAAAGAGATATCTCTCTAAGTATAAGAGATATCTCTCTAACTTTAAGAGATATCTCTTTCTTATAGAGATATCTCTTAAGAATAAGAGATATCTCTTTAAGTTGAGAGATATCTCTTATTTTTAAGAGATATCTCTCTATAATGAGAGATATCTCTGTAATTTTCAGATGAAATTTATTTTCCGAATAAATAGTAAAAGGGCTTGCCATAGTCATAGTCTATCTTGTCCTTTGTAAAGATACAACCATGTGTTCCTTGCATTAGTCATGATTGGAAAATAATGATAAAATCCTTCGCATTTCATTGTGTAAATAATTGCCTGCAATTTCAAGTCTGTAAAAAAAGCAGAAAAACAAACATTTCACTTGAAATTTTATAGAATTTATTGTGAATATTTACAGATTGAAAGAATCCAAAACCCTTCATTATACCAACAGTATGCAGCCAAGCTTGACCACATAGAAAAGCATGTGGACCAGAATCAAGTCAAGTTAGTACAGGATCTGTGGCATGGAGCGGCGCCAGCAGCCATCGTCAGCATTAATTACTATGGTTTTAACCGCAGCTACTGTGGAGATAACGGTGGGATATTAGTTACATTGCAGTCTGTCTTTTATTTAACATCATGTATGATGTCAAAGAATAAGAAAGGAGGGCATATTGCTTTGCTACTGTTTGTCTGTCAGTCCACCATCAGTTTAAATTCATTTTCTTTGCAGATATTGCACATATTGAAATGAAATTTGTTATCATAATATCTTTGTCAAGTTTTGGGGGTATGCTTGCACCATTTTGAACAGAGTAATGCCCCTTGGACTTAATTAGAACAATACTTGATATCGCGATTACTTAACTTAGTGGAACTCTTTCACAATGGAGGTAGGAAACGTCTGTTGGGTGGGGGCAAAGTTACCATTGAATACAATGCAAGATCGATCATTGTAGAATTTATAAGGACAGATAAGTAAAAATTCCTGGTGGAATACCTTGCTAAACAATTGGTGAACTAGCCTAATAAATTTTTGAAAGGAGACAATCTTATATTGTTACATTTTTAACGATATTTTTAACTAAGCAGACTCTTCTCTTTAAATTTTCATTAAAAATCGTCACAAGCAGATAAAATATTCTAATCTTTCCTTATTTGACAATCTACTATTTGGAGTTCAATATATGGCAAAACATTGTGCTTTCTGCATTAAATTGTTCGAATCATTCGATTGTCACTACTGTAAACAATGTCGTGCCCCAGAAATTTAGACCTTTCTCGACTCCCCCGCAAAAGAGCGGTAGTAAGTTAGATAACTGCGAGGTACTCATTGGTATTCACAATATTACGTATTCTAATTATTTGAAGTTTCTGTTCATTTTCTTTGTAGAGGTTGCACATATTGAAATGAAAATTGGTATAGAGATTTATCCAATGAATATCTAGGACAAGTTCTGTTCTGGGTATGATTGAGCCATTAGAAAAAATCCAATTATTTTGGGGAGGGGGCCAGAGGGGGCATACATGTGTTACAAACATCTCTTGTTTATTTAAAAGTCACAATAAAGGCATGAATTTACTTTTTTCAGGTGGAGAGCCATGGTATGGACGGGGGGTTTATTTTGCCAGCGACGCCTCTTATTCGGCAAGAGACTGGTTATCAGGGCGGGATCCCTCGGGTAAAAAGAAAATGTATCAAGCAAAAGTTATTACAGGACATTACTGTGCTGGAGTCAAAGGCATGAGATTTCTATCAGAGAGAATGAAAGGAGTGAATTTTGATTGTGCCGTTAATGACTTGAATAACCCAACAGAATTTGTCATTTTTAATGACACCCAGGCATATCCAGAATATTGTATCGAGTTCACAATTTGATCTCAGTATAC